AAGCCCCAAATGGGCAAAATGGCGGTTCCCATGAAGGCTGCGAAACTACCCCACGAGGGCTTCCAGTACTGATACATCGACGCCCTCATCGCCATAAACCGCTGCACCGATGGGTCCAACTGTCACCGCAAATACACTATTCATTAGTTTTATGTTAACAAACATACGGTATATCAAGGATAGAGAGGGGTATAGGACTGGATTAGGGGTTACCCGGGATAGGGCACTGAGAGTTAGTATAAATATGATGTGGAATGGGATGCGAGTGAGTGGTGGACGGGTAGTGTTGGACATACGATCTCGACATGAGCGGCACATTTGTACGGATTGTAATTCAAACGGTTGTACTCGGTCTTCAAGCGCCTCCTAATCTCGTGTCGCCTCCGGATTCGGTCCATTTCGGCGGCGCTCTCGTGGTATTGAGGAGTCCCTCCCCATCCCATACCACCACTGCCCGCAGATGAAGACATTGTCACTGCAAACGGATCCACAATTGATGCATCAATTGGTGTTTTAATTATCATTTATAAATGCAATTATAGTTTTGTTGCAACTGTTATAATGTTGCAGTCATTCGTAACAAACATACCGTTAAGTTGTGGCACTATTTGTCGACCGATTTGTAGTAATAATTAAATTAAATTGATTTTAAGTTTTTATGAATGGATTTGTTTTGTATTGTGTTTTCAATGCATTCAATACGTCCCGTAAATAGACAGTCAATACAAACATAACGTACACTCTCTATAGATATTTCATTCACAAAACACGTTTCATTTTTAACATTTTCCCTATAGTTTAACATTAGAGGGTATAAAAAATGATGCCTTTATTATTGACGTTATATATGAATATATAAAATATTTTCATTTCACTCTCAAACATGTGTTAAATTTAAAAAACTTTTACAAATTATAAACATTTAATTGTAATTAATTGAAACAAATCATGAAAATAATGACAAATCCATTAATAAACTGCAAATCTTTACGCAATTTTGGGCCCAAATTACGGGCAATACATATACGATGTGTGCATCAAAAGGACCCAAAATTTAAGGCGGATTCGGGAGGCGAAGACGTGTGGACGCCTCCCCGGCCACCAATCAAGCCGTACGACCATCTGTTCCCGTGGACATCGATGACCACATTCACCAGCTATTTGGCCGACAGAGTGG